CGCTCCGCCTTGATGAGAAGGGTATGGCTGAACACTTTGTCCGCAGGCTCTCCAGTAGGGGTGAATATCTTGCTGAGATGGACAAGCTCTTTGGCGACCTGAAGAATCGTCAGTTGTCGAAGTTTCGAGAACTCTGTGAAGTTGGAAGACTTACCTCATACAATCCTTTTCTAGCAAAATCTCCGGAGCAAAAGGTGAGAACATGCCATCGTCCGTATGCAGCAAGGTTCTTGTTCAGCTGCATCGGCTTTGTATCAGACAGCCTCACAAAAGGTGCGCTTGGGAACCTCATCCCGACCGTCAATCCCGACGCAATGCTGTTATCGCTTTCGTCCAAAGATGTCAGAATGGAAGGCTTGTACTTGGTAGCCATACCAGCTGTATAGCGTCCTGCTTCCACAAACTTGTCGCGAAAGTCTTTTGCCGTGATACCGTTGGCTTTTCGGTGTTCGGACGAGAATAGCTTGCTGAACGAGCGATCGAACTCGATAAGTTGTTGAGCTGTCTGTTGTCTCTCGAGAACATATGTCTCTAGGACTGAGGGTGGCGCTCGGTCGGTGAGAACATGAGCCATCTTCCATCCGATGTTGAATCCATCCTGCAGACTGACGTTCATACCCTGCCCAGCCTTGGGCGAGTGAGTGTGACAAGCATCACCAGCGAGAAAGATACGATGGTCCTTCGTAAAGTGGTCTGCGAGGCGCTGGCCAATGACATAAGCAGACCACCAGGCAGTTCGCGCAATGTCGATATTGTAGGGGTGAAAGATGCGCTTGACCTTGTCGATGAGGTCCTGCTCGGTGACGTCACGAGCCGAGGTACCGGGAAGTTCGATGTAGAACCGTACAAGCTCGTCGCCCTCTCGAGGAATGATCATGAGATTTCCGTCGTTTTTGCTCTGGAGCATGGCCTTTTTGCGGATGTCGGGGAAGTTGGTGATGGGGTAGACGTCCATGACGCCCCAGACGGAGTCGCTTGAGTCGCCGACCATTTTGAAGCCGAGAGATTTGCGGACAGTGCTGTGAGCGCCATCGCAGCCCTGATGACAGCCTGTTAGCAGGAGGAATGGTTGTTGAGTATGTGAACTTACAATAGCGTATTTTGCACGGTACTTATAAGGTTCGCCGTTCCGCATGGTGACAACCTCAACGGGGTACTCCTCATCATCAACAATCCTCACACTCTCGACCTGAGAATTGTACAAGACCCCACTCGTCCCATTCGCCCTTAATCTGATGATCTCCTGCAGCATCAAATCATTGATTCTCGCCTGGTTAAGAATAACATGAGGTTGGTGACTGAGCCCCTCTTCTGTATCATAAGCAAGATCCTTTCTCACAAGTCCTTCATTGCCATCAGGGGACCAAAAGGCTACCTCCATGACATGATACGCCTCCTCCAAGAGACGCTCAGAAATACCCAAGTTCTCAAAGATCTCGACAGTGCGACACTGAACGCCGTCTGCTTGGCCGATCTCGAGAGGGCCTGGGCGACGTTCGAGGATTTTGAAGTCGATGTTGAAGCGGGCGAGCCAGATCGCAGCTGTGAGGCCGGCGGAACCGCCGCCGCAGATGATGACTTGCACTTTTTCAGACTCCATTGTTGATTTTGATGGTTTGTGATATTATTCCATGGTCTCGTCCATTCATTATATCCTCATGGCGTTTACTGGGTATGTCGCTGCACGGTAGTTGGTGTAGGTTCAAGAGAGTGGGGCTTCCGTTGGATTTCTACGGCAGATCTTGTCGGCATCCGAGTTCCACGGAACCAGCGGAGCAGGGAAATAAGCTCGGATCTTAGCTACGGTAGCCACCCACACACATTATTGCTAGGGAGCAAGAAAACACCGGACCTTGATATAGGCTGTCAAAATAAACTCAGCAAAAGGTATCCTAAACTTAGGCTAAAGTTATGCTAGTTTACCTAAGTCTTTTTGTCATTTAGGATCAAGGTCCTGAGTTTTCTTTCCTCCCCTAGGGTTGGTACGGCTCCCAACGAGCTGCAATTTTTGACATTCACAGCGAGACTAACAAACACCAAGGACTCGGACGTTGCTTTTTTGGTGATATTGCCAAATCTCTATTTTATGCTACGAGTAGCTATCGAGTTGCAAACAGGGAAGATGTATTGGATTCTTTCTGATCAGACGGTCGATACTGGTTGATGTTGCCAGGCTCCGTTCGATCTTGGAAATGCAGTCACAAGATGAAACTTGTCAAGTCTAGCGGCATAATGACAGACGATCATATCGGTAAGAGCTGCCAAAGATACTGAAAGATATCGTCAAGGTCCCTTTCACCCGGGAGCACACCCTCCACGAGTATCGTCCCTCTTCTCCGGATGCAAGAAAGAACAAGGACCGACCGGGCTTTGTAGTCTATCAAGACGTTGATTCGGAGAATGGCGACGTGCTGAAGGGCTGCTGAAGGTGCTTATATGTCTCTCTTTCGCGATTAAGTAGTCCCGCCAACTTGTATTTCTCAACCCTTGCGACAATTCGATTCGGTAGACCCAACTATTCGAGGATACTGCAGAGTCTGCAAGGAATAGGTTCTCAGTAAACTTGATCGTGACATAAGCTCGGGGGGTGTGCTGCGCGGCCGCAGCATTAAGACTCTCGGACGGCCGGGTTCGGAAACTGTAGCGGTAGTCCTGGTGATCGAGCAAACGAGTGGAGGCTCTTGACAGAAGTTAGTGGTTGAGGCATGGAGTAGGATATGAGAAAAAGAGGACGAAAATAGTCTGAGTTGGAGACGGTGCGGAGGATGAGCGTGTTGGCGAAGAAAGGAGGACTTGCTGTTCAAGATTGTGCTGCAAGTCGAGGCTTGGCCGACCGTTCTGATGTTGTGTATGGAACAGCGGAGCATTGACTGGTTGCCTTTCCCGAGTGGCAAGAGTCGACGTGTTCTGTATTGTTTCATATAGTGTCTGGGTCCACGAAGGAACAAGTAACTTGTTTAGCAACTCAGGTTCAAGCCCTGGCTGGAGATCAGAACTTCACTTGCTGTTCGTAGTAAGGTTAAGTAGTTAGAGAAAGCAGCTGTGATGGAGAAATGGAGATACCAGTATGCAGTGCCTGGTCAGAGAACAGATTCTCACAGGAGCCATGTGGGTACGTATACCCTGTTTCCCCTTCGCTACGAAGTCCCGAACAGCTCTACCAAAGCTACGTCTAGGAGTATGAATACCTTGAAACCTTCTGGTTCAGTGGTCCTCCTTTGTAACGCCAAGCTGGTCCATTGGAAGCTCCTTTCCCCCAAGGCCACCCGATAGACCACTGGGCCATGCCCGTCGCTTTGGCAACCATAGCTTTTCGCGTATTTCGGCATTCCCATCGCCACTTGTGTCCTTCGTCTCAAGTGGATTCCCCTTGCGGATAGGCTGCTGCCACTGCAACGATTACCTTCCGCAACTGCAGCTGTTATTACCAAGGGCCCAGATAACTGCCATTGACAAGATCAAGGCTCGACTGCGCGTTATTGTGACCTGTAGGATAGTTCGGCCTCAATGAGTCATTGGCCCTCGGTGTGATGTCTACGTTCGGGGTATCCATTGAGAGTTGTAGACATAGCCAGGGTGAGTGGGGCGACTGCTCAACGGAGCTCACACTGCATCTAGGTAACTGTTGAAGACAGCTCTGAGGTGCCTGATAGGTAACTCAATGCTGGCAGGTCCATGCAAAGCGACATAGAGACTCAAAAAGGATCTACGAAAGACCTGGAGGTTAGCGGTCCTGATGGGAGTGTTGGTGAGCGGAAACTGGGGGATGGCGAGATACAGTGGGCTTTTGAGAATGAAGCGAGTCACAATCAGAAGGAGCTGGGCTCAGTTTGCATCCTCTAGGTTTGACTGATATGTACCATCTTGTGATTCATCTCCCTAAACAATAGCGGGTACAGTAGCGGGTGTTTTCCAATGTTGGACGCTTAAAACTCTCTTTGGAGGCATGGACAATAAGCTTAGGGAAATATCGTATAAATGCCATCTAGAGTACCAAACGAAAAAGAGGGACGCTCTAGCGCTGGGCAATGTGCGAAATCTCGAGTATTGCTCCTCGGAGCTATGGCCTGTGTATTGAGGCAGGGTTGGCCTTTCTGTAAACCACGGATTCTTTAACCACAATTGTTGTCAATCCAGGCATGCCATTTGTTTTACCGCCATGCCTCAACTTACTGAGACGGTTAAGTCCACCGTTACCGTGAAAGCTTTGGCGAAAGCTTGCGTCAAGGGAGGTCGGAACTCCCGTGTACTCTTACTACTCGCCCTGGCTACCTCGAGCTTGATCTCGATGCAAACCACGGGATGAAGGGCCTTGTCCAGGGCCGGCTGTCGTTAAGCATACGTAGCAACAGTGGCAACAACGTTGCATGTATTACATAGGGGATATGCGACCTGGTGGTGGTAGGTTACGCGGAGCGGCCTTGTGCACTATGAGCTTGAACCACTGTCAGACAGATGGTGGAGTCATAGCTACAGCAGACGCACAGTCCCGCTGTCCCTATAAATTTCGCGTTTCTCCCTCAACCTTTTCTTCCATCCAACCTCTTCCTCCACCACCACTTTTACTCCATCAACACACTTCCTTCGTCAGTAATCCTTCTTCATCAGCCACCCCTTGCATCGTGCAGGCCTTTCATCCTTGAGTTGCGGACACGACGCATCAATCTTACCAAACACAGCAAGTAACTCTGCGTCGCCCGCGCTGTCACGAGGAGAAGACATTTGCTCTGCATCATCCCTTGCACTGGAGCCCCGAGGTAGTTTGTGTCAGATTTCTCATTGTCTTCTCACGCCACCAAGGCTTCTCATCTCTGCTGATCTGTGACACTCGCGTGTCGACTGTTGATCCTTCCTCCACTGTCTTCACACTTCACATCTTATTCAGCTGGAGCCAGCGCCCCTAGGCTGAGGCATCTGCTGTAACCACTGCCACGATAGCCTCCATTTACTGTTACGTGTTTTGCTAACTCATTTTTGACAGTCTCCCGCAGGAAGAAACTATGAGCCCCGAGGCCAGTGAGAAGACCGACGTGTCTGTCGAGACGCCCTCCAAGGAAGCGGGGGAGATGCTCTCCAAGGAATCTGTCGAGAAGCCTGGCATGACGGGCCAAGTAACCAAGGCTCTTGAAACTGAGGCGACTCAGGAACGCGTTAAGGAAGTAAACGGACGGCGTTTTACTTATCGCTACCGCTATAAAGATGGCCCGTTTCACCCATTATTGAAGGATTGGTTAGACGAAGACGGACACTCCATTGAGTGGTGGGAAAAGAAGTCGCTTCTACGTGATTGGATCTATGGTCGCATGTCTCCCGAAGAGTTTGATGCCCATTTTCCTCATTACTGTAAGTTCAACGCGTCAATGACCTTGTGACTATTTTTGCTAATTGGTTATAGGGGGGCCTCCTAAGGAATCGTATAGGATCACAAAAGAAGCGCTTGCGATGCCGCAGGAAGAAAAAGAATCCTTTGGGCCCAAGGAAAGCGATGAGCTCCACACTCAGCATTATGCTAACAACTACGGCGATGGTAGTGGTCTCCCGCTTCGGCCGGGTATGGGCCCTGTGACCGACGAGCAGAAAAATCTGTCGTCAAAAGAGATATTGCTTCTACGTGATTGGGTCCATGGCCGCATGTCCTCCGAAGAATTCGATGCCCACTTTCCTAACTACAGTAAGTTCCTTAAGTCAAGAAACTCGGAACCTGTTTCTTGCTAACTGATCACAGATGGCCCGAAAGATTGTTACAGATATAACAAAGAGGAGGTATCTGATGTCCAATCTCCAAATTCCCGTAAGTCCATCCCTACAAGGGTCCTGAAAACCTTCGCCCTAACCACATACAGATGAATCCGATGAAGATTGTACCGAAGAAGGATTCCATTGTATGATGGAGGATGACACCGAGGAAATGCTGTGCGATGAATACTATGCTTGCCTCCATGAGGAACGTCTCAAGGAAGGTTTGCATGAGGCAAAGCCCCGCTATGCCTCCTACTATGGAGATGGCAGTGGACTTCCCCTCCGCCCTGGTATGGGACCCCCAATGACTGAGGAAGAGTCTCAAGAGTCCTGGAAGAAGTCACAAGAGCAATTTGAGATTCTCTGGAACATGAACGATAAGGAGTTTCATGCTCAGCATCCTGAACACAGTAGGTTTACTACTCTCAATTCTTCGAATCAATATCATACTGACTCATCTCAGACGCTATAAAGGATTTCTGCTTGACCGAAGAAGAAGCTGAGAAGTTGCTGGAAGGGGACGATGACGAACAGCCCCGTTATTCCCACAACTGCGGTGATGGCAGTGATCTTCCGCTTCGACCTGGGATGGGACCCCCTAAGACTAAAGAAGAGCAAGAGGAGTCATTGAAGGAGTGGGAGGCTGAAGACGATAAGATCTTCAATATGTCTGAGGAGGAGTTCAATGCCGAGTTTCCGGGATACAGTAAGTTCAGGAGATCACTTTCTTCAAACTAGAATTGTGCTAACCGCTGACAGAGGACATTCCGGTATACCTCTGTCCCGAGTATGAAGCGTATAGGATCATGGAGGAGTGTGATGAAGCCGATGACCGCAGAAGAGACGAAGTGCTTCGTGAATGGAAAGAGTCAATCAAAGCACGCCCTGAAGACCAAGTGTAACTTGTAATAGTTACGGGAAAGACAGACTGCGAGCTGGCAAAAGGGAAGTTGATTTCAATGACCTGTACGCCGTACTGTTAGTATGCGAGGGTTGTTGAATGGTGTGGGGAGAAAGACAAAGTGGAAATACTCAAGTGGTTGGTCAACCTAGTTAGTATTAGATAGTCAAGCAAGCTTTCTTCCCCATTCTATGCATATCCAAGATGTTGTTGGCATATGACAAAAGCGGAGTGATATTAAATTCTCCTAAATTTGTTCTGAGTAACTAAGTTCTCTATCCTGATATAAGCTCTTGGACTTGATATGAACTTACTGAAATAACTATTCATTTTTTCACCGAAAGATCATTTGTTTACCCAGGTTTCACGAAGAGCTACTTCAAAGTAAGATCATGCTTATAGCTGGCAGTGATTGTCTAATTCTTAAAGAGGGGAGGATGTTGGAGGACTGTAATCATGCTAAGACCTGAACCAAAACCGTGAACGAAGTAACGAGTAGCCCCAATTAGTATAAAATTGAACTAAATCTAGCGAGACAAGGGGTGGTCTCGTGTGAGGCGCGCGATGTGAGCCATCAGCTGTGGGATTTATCAACTCAAAATAACACTCTTATCAGAGTCAATCCGGGCAGTATACAGCTACCCAACACAATTGCCCAAGAAGAGGTGGCCTCAGGAAGACGGAAACTGAACCTTTACTAGATAAGAGGAAGCCCAAACTTGTTGACGAGACAAAGCCTAAGCTCTGTCTCTTTTATTCATTGTTCAACAACCAGGTAAGACGATAGCTTATCCTCGATAAGCCAAAGTAAGCCAGCATCAGCGCCAGTGGGGACCCTAACCCCTTTTTAGAACCGGATAGCCATACTTTTCAACCAGAGCGTCCCAGATCCGATGGTGAAACCTCCCACATTGATCATGGCGCCATTGTTCAAGGGAGCCAAATGTTCTAACAAATTTGCGCATCTGCTGGCCACATTGTTCGTTAGTGGCCACAGTGCCAGCCTTATCTTGAAAATTCGGAAGGCCCTCACGCCAGACAATTCGCCAGATCTTCTCCTTGTTGTTTTCCTCCCTGGCCTTCAAGTCCGCTGACATGAAGAGGTATCGTGAGAAAAGGTCTCTACCCGTACCGTGATCGTCCCCTTTGAGGTGCCATTTCATGAACCCTTTGAAGAAACGGTCGCCGTACTCGTTCGTGGAACTAAAGAGTATTAGCGAGATAACTAGCCTAAGAAAACGGAATAAACCTCGCCTACAGTAAGTCAATAGCCTTGTACTGTTGGCGACTTCTCTCAGAGTAGAAGCCAAGCCCTCTTCGAAAGAGATCCAGTTCATCACAGTGGTCTGAAAACACGTTAGAATCTACCCCATGACTTATTGTTGTACAAAGATCAGGAGACCTTCGGGCTAACCATAAGAGACACTAAACTTAGACTAAGTTTGTCTAAACTCGCAGTCCCTTATGATGAGCGCAGGCTTAAAGGCCAGTTAGGAAATCGTTGGCAGCTTACCTGTGTTCCATTTGTGACTACAACCGAGCCGTCAAATTGCCAAACAAATCTTTTGCCTTTAAAGGGCCACTCTTCCCCCGGTGCCTTAACCATAGCACCGTCACGACTGTTCGAGTCAATGATAATATAGGTGTTGAGGCACCTGCAAATCTTATGATTTCCCACATCATACATTCGAAAGTCGTAAAGTCCGGGGTTCTCACGATCTAGTGCGCTGGCAACCCGAATTGCCAATACGGTACATGTACCGGTTGTTGATAATCTGTCAACTCCGTATTGCCTGACCATGCTTTCAAATGTCGCAGGTTCCTCGTTTCCAAGCGTTTTCATGGGATATGAAACAAAGTCCTAATCGCCTTTCCCAGAGAATGCCAGCATACGATCAAACGCCATCGTTGTTGTAAAGGCGGTGTCACCATGCGCATACGTGTAGGCACGGGTGGCAACCGCATCGATTACCAATTGATCTGACATTTCGGGCTAATGTTCTCGTTCGAAAAAGAAACAGTCGTAGCAAGAACAAGTTATCAGGAGGCAAATACAGCCTGAGAACAATATATAAGAAAAAGGAACGTTATCCACTTTGCGATAAAGGATGAAGGGGGAAATAATGGGAGATGTTGGCATTCATAGACGTTTGGCGTCTGCAGAAGGTTTAGTAAGAATCACGGCGAAGGAGGGAAATGAAATCACCAAAGGCGATGCGCAAATTCTGTGCACAATGGGGACCTTGGGTTGATGTTGCGGACGATATAAGGGAAGTGTTCGAGTAAGAAGGCTAACGAAACAAAGGAGTAGTCGAGCGAGATACCAGAGATGATCAAAGTGTGGTACCGACTGAGGTAATGTACGTTCGTTGCGATGATGCGATGGAGAAGTTTGAGGGGACTTGGGATGTCTGGATGCAAAGGGAGCCTTTGATGTATTTGTAGCCGTCCCTCCGGCATCTGCACCCTGGGTGTGGGGCATCCTGCAATCGCGTCAAGAGTCACGTTCTACTTGAACTGCCAGTGGCAGACTGGGAGCGTGCCCTATGATAGGCCAGAGCCTGTTGGTTCAGCCTCGGTCACGTCATCCTTCTCGCTTCTGTAGCGTTTGCCTGGTCTGAGGCTGGGTCTATCGCTTGTACTGGAGTCACATACCGGAGTTCTGAGTGTATGATAGGCTCTACAAGCTTGTTGCGCTCATTCACCTCTGTCCCGTCGTCACAGCGACCACCGGGGCAGCAGTCACGTCCACCCGGGCCCCGCGGAAGAAACGCGTTCCTGCTGTGGGACTGGAGGACGGCGTGACTAAAGAGGAATAGATGCGGGCGTATCGCTGGGCCGAGACTTGTGTTTGCGGTCCGGAGGATGATCCGACCAAGCACCAGCAGATCTTGGCCCCAAGCCATAATCAGGAGTTCGAGGCGATGGATTGAGGGAGGACAGGGAATTTTTAGTCAAAGAGTCTTCTAAACATCATCCTAAACTGTGATAAAATTATCCTAAGCTCGTCTAAAGCCTTTGGTGCTTTAGGGCTATTAAAATTCGCTACCTAGTGGTCAACATCATAACCAGATCTCGCTTCACGTGATGGCTGGAAACTTGCTAGCGTCCAACAAACCCACCGAACTAAAGTGGCATGGATGTGTCGTGTTGACGAGTAGCGTTACATGGCAAGAGACATCTGAGCCCCGGATGGGTTAGGGCAGATGGACGCGAGTTGTCAAGCGAGAGCCGCATCTGTCTTGATGGCGGCCGATGTAACTTGGCCCCCCGGGATCATGTCACTGCGTATCCTTGCGTAACATCATCACTGCATTATGTTTATTTTATTTCTCGGGTACGGTTCGACTTCGGCTCGTATTCGAAGGGGCTCGTGTTGCGGTTACGGTGTTACCTTCATTGTGATTCGCAACTCGGTGTAGGCTCGTGGAGTGGCGATAGCTTCGTCTCGGTGGGTTTCGGTCGGAGGGAGGAAAATGTTCGCTTCGCTGGTCGGTGCACGCGTGTCTTGTCGATGGTCATCGCGGTCGCGGTCGGGGTCGTAGTCGCGGTTAAGATTTCGCTTGATGTTGATTCTCCGCCTGCAAGACTGTTGACTGTAGTCCGACAACTGAACTGTCGATCGAGAGCAGGTCCAAACTTCAAATGGGAACTTCGGTGGCAAAAGTGCTGCTCCTTGTTCTCCAATCTGGGATCGTCGTTGTCAGCATGCACGTCATCGACATCGGCGTCAGGGCTATCCCTGTATCTCTCAGCCATTTGACTGTCACTTTTCACCTTGCATCCACCCGGTCTTCATCACAGCGGCGGCGTAAAGATTCCCGCGTCTTTTTGATGCCATACCTTTCATGATTATGTGATGGAAACGCGAAAAGGAAAGGAGCTGGGTACATCAAAGATCAGGCTGCGACGATGCAGCGCGGGGAATCAACTGAGCCTGATCCCCACCGCCACGTACCTTGTCCTACCCCGAGCTGACCACAGTGACTGTACCTTGAGATTAGCAATCAATATTACTGAAACGTATTGGACAGCCAGGGCCGCTTGGTGGTACTGAGCAAAAGGAAAACACTCCGTACTGTGAGATATCAGCGTAGCATTCCCCAAAACATCAAACATTTTCGCTTTTCATCTGTGACCCCATCTCCTCCCAGCGACTCCTCCAGACCGCGACATCTCGATGCTATCCTCACGAGTTGATGACCCCTGCGCTTCAAATCCTTCCATTCACAGCACCCGACAAAGCAACATTCCAACCGTGGACCTCCTTGCCTCGTCCTCTTTCCCCTCGGCTGATGCTCGAAAGAGGTCCTGGTCATTCAGCCCCGTCCACAGAACCGTCGCCCCTAGCTTCGACCGCCGCCCTTGATCCCAAATAATGATGCCTTCTTGATGCCCCTTTCTTGAAAAGCCTCATGGTGATCTCCTTGACGAGATCTCCCTGTTGAACACTGCAGTAGGAACCATCGGCGACACTCTACGTCAATGATGAGTACCTAATCATAAAATCCCTCAGTGCTTGGGAAAGGCTTCACATTGTGAAAGCTGCCACAGACCTCAAGTTCTTTCGTTCCGTTAAGCTGCACTTCGTCTCCTCATTGCTTCGTTTTGAGCAGATCCCTTCTGAGCCCCTTTTCACCCCCCTTGTCTGCTGTTCAGTTTGCTTCAATGATTTGCACTGGTCTCCTTGTTTGCATTACGTGACCCCGTCCTCTATTGTCTGCCTGTACCATCGGTGTGGCTGCCTGCTGACCCAAAGCCACGCCGTGGTCGTTTCCCAAGTCTGTTTGTATTCGAGCGCTCCTTCGATCGTACGATATCTCGCCTTTGACCCTGTCCTTGTTCACTTTCCATTCCCAATAGTCGCCGAAGGCCTCGCCTCGTACCGTCAGAAAGCCACGTCCTCGTCGTTCCCAAGTCAGCGCTCTTCGACATCCTTACAAGGCGGCCTGGCGTTCCAAAATTGTCCTTCACGATGAACGCACGCCAAGCCGATATTTCGTTTGAAGCGACGAGCTTTGCGTTTCTTCTCTTGATGGCCGGTCCATTCTTGCCGGAAATCAGGCCGCTCTCGCTCAAGCCACGAAGACACCGTACACGTCCACGGGTACCGCAGAGCCGAAAGATTACCTTCCACGATATTGGCCAAAGCAATTTCATGCCCAGCAGCGAACGGCCTCGATACAAATACTCCAAGACTTGCGCGGTCTTTGCTCGCGGGACGGGCTTCCGGTCCGTACCTGATATGAAGCCCAACGACGTCCAAGACCAAGGAAGCTTCTCGGACTCCTTTAGCTTGTTCCTTCGCGACCCCCGATCTTGCAAAACCTCTTGGAATTTGTTGCAGTTCGCTGATATTTGCCACCGCCGATGAACGCTTGTCTGCCAGGATCACAGTCCGCGTTTGTAAAAACGCCGTGCTCTCAAGGGTCAGTCGGGTTTCGACACACTACCATCGTGAACCTTCCCCGTCCTCGAGGCGATCATTCAACAACTATACCCAGACGAACTGCCCCGCTGTGGCTGGACTTGAAGCTGCCCACAGAGCTTGGCTTCCCAGCTTCAACTGCCGGTGCCGACTCGTCCATTGCGGTGACCGACGAGCTATGCCGAAAGGCCATGGCATACATGACACGAGGCTATCAAACGTTGTAGCGGAGCGAGTAAGCCAGATCCGGCACTCTTGGACGACTGCTACTCGACTTACAATCGGAGATGATGAAGTCTCGACCGACCATGACGAAAGCCAGGTCACTTGACTGACAATTTCTCTGTGATCACCAGAAATTACGAGCCCGTCAGTACGTACAGGAATACGACCGAAAGCACAACGACAAGAGTCTCGCACCGATAGGCCAAGGGCCATAAAGAGGGAATGGTCATTGTAAGCACTCGGCCCGACTCTTTTGTCGCCCCCAGACAGGTCAACGACATCGGGCCGTAGTTCAGACGACACTAAGAACGATCCCGAGCTGGAGACTACTCTCCACATCCCGAACCTATACGAGATATAAAGCACGGTATTTAATATTGCTCGGTTTTACATGCTCCAAGAAACAAGAACCATCCGCCATGTCTTCAAACTCCAACCCTCCGAAAGCGCTTCCCTTCATTCACCGCTTCATCACAACACATGACTCGAGCGGCAAATCCTGTTACTCCAAAGACCTCGATGAGCCACTGAATTTCTGGCAAGTCAGCGCAGGCGAAGGAAACTCTGCCGACTTCGAGCTCGGCTACGTCACCGAGGGATTACCCATACCGCTTGCAAACAACAAAGATCTTTCCACGTTTAAAGAGGCATATGCCAACAAACAGAAGTCGGGGTTGGTGAAGCATGGCGGTAGCATCTTGCGGTACTGTGACATTCCTCCAGGCTCAAAGTCTCAGATGCATCGTACCGTCAGTCTCGACTACGGCATCCTTATCAATGGCGAGCTGGAATGTCTGCTGGATTCAGGGGAGACACGGACCATCCACCCGGGGGATGTTGTGATTCAGAGGGGTACAAATCACCAATGGTTCAACAGAACTGAGCAGTGGGCTAGGATTGTGTTCATCCTGTTCCATGCGACGCCGGTAGAGATCAATGGCCGTGAATTGGGTGAAGACCAAGGAGGAATGGAGCTGCCAGACTCGCATTAGATTCCGTCCAATCCCACCGACATGGCGAATGACTCTCGAGGTGCACAAAATCATAAGTACACCGTGATTCTTGCTTCATGATGTCGACCGCCAGTCCAGGCACAGGTGTAAGATATTGCGTTGCTGTCTCACGAACCGACAACCCATTGGTCTGGTCTGTACGCCGCGAGTCATGGCGGTCGACACAGCTGTGAAACCGGCCATGGAAACCTCGATGGCCATGCATATCGGCAAGCATGGATCTTCATAAACCGAGTCAATAGCACTACACGAAAGCTTAAAGCCCTCCATTGGATTATTGATTAGCACCATGCTTACTACCAGACCATTTCTTCTTAGCGCCCCCGCCGAGAGCAAGAAATCTAAGGCTTGAAAGTAGGATGCCGAGATAAATTTAGTAGATTTACCCTAATCTAAGGTTGACTTGAGTATTCCCATTACTGAGGGTTAAGATCTTGAGTTTTCTTGCTTTCCCTAGCCCTCACACACGCAACTATGCCAGATGACATTCTGAAGGAGCTCGAGTTCATGTTATTTGGTAATATGAAGAGACCAAACCAATTGGTCCTGACTTGTGGATGGAAGTGGTGTAAGGGGCTTTCCATCATTTATGATTTTGCAAAGGGCCGTGGACTAATAAAAAAAAGAAGCGGCAAGATATGCAGTCATATCAGTGGTTTGACTTGATCGAATGCACAAGTCCTGCAGGGTATGAAGTCTGGTCCTCAATATTCAACCGAAGCTGACCTGGCTGATAGTATGATTGTCGATGGCCGGTCCTTATGCGAATAAATATAGATGGCGGCATCAATGAATACCAGCGACTTGGAAGGATTGTATCTGAAAACACACGCAACTGCGAGTACACGTTCGATGAGAAGAATCTTGGTCGTGAGTCCAAGGCAGACGTTACGACGTACTTTGGTCAGCGCAGATGCACCCCTTCTTGACCTCTTGGAGTCGATGCATGCAACACCTAAGTATTCCTCGGTTCATATCAAATTGTCTCCACGCAAGTTGTGGATCTTAATGTACCAAAGTGCAGTTCAGCGAACAATTACTGTTCATTCGGGTATGTCTTTAACGTGGAAGATATCCATCCAAAGTTTCCTAGCTGCTATCAGATCAACCTTAGCAGCCTCCCTCTTGATACGGTCTGCGCGAAGAACGACATCCTCCTTTAGCCCCTCCCAATCAGCGGTCAACTTTCCGTTCTGCTTCTTGATCTTGCCATCAATGATAACAGTATCAACGTCTTTCATTGAAGAATGAAACACCACTGAACCAATTGGATCGCCAACAGGAATATTCTCAATATCATCACAGCGGATGAGGACAAGATCTGCTTTCTTCCCAACGGTAATGGAGCCGATGAGGTCTTCCATTCTCATGACCTCCGCACCTCCCAAAGTTCCCATTCGAACAACATCTGCTGTCTTGCGTTTGATGGAAAGTGGAAACCCCTGTTCGTTTTCCTGGGCTCGACGAGCTTGCAGCGCGAGCCGCATCTGCGCAATAAAGTCATTTCCCTGATTGGACGTAATATCTATACCTAAACATGTGCGACATCCTCGATCAGAAGCTTGGAAGACGATAGGAAATCCCATACCCATTTGTAACTCTGTATCTGGCGTGCCGACAATAGAGGCACCCGACTCCTTGATCACCTCAAGCTCACTCTCGGTGAAGGATGAGCCATGGCTAAAGACAAGGTCTGGACCCATGATACCCTTATTTGCGAGATTCTGCACAACTTGACGTCGTGCCAAGTCATAGGGCCCCATCGCGACATGCATGGTGATTATACGTGCTCCGAGCTCTCTCGACTGCTTGATCTGCGCAATGGTCTCTTCAATAGGCAGAGATTCTGGCTCATCTGGAGCTACACCAAACGTAAGGAGTTGCTCGGCTGGATCATTTTGACCAAAGAACTTGTCTCTTATCCTGGCAGCATCGCTCAGCCGTGACGCATGGGAGAAGCCTCTTAGATCAGGCTGATCAGGCAAAGGTGGGTTGGCATAGAATCCATAACAGAATGTTCCTCGGATCCCAGCATCTTGAAGTGCCTTTACAGCCGCGTCAGCATGATCAGGCGAATTGATGATATGGCAGTG